GATAAATAAAATACTTCCTGACTATTCCAAGTAAGCAGCATGAAGGCATGACTTTTCTGAAGATTGAAAGCATTAACAAACCTTCTTTTCCTAAGGTTTCTCATTGTGGACATCTGTGATTGCATTTGTTTCTTTCTGGGGGAAATATTAATAGGCTTAAATGATGAAGGTGCGAAGGGAAGAGAGAGATCTGTGGAAGCATTTAAGTTTTCCGTTGCTTAATTAGTTCATCTCTCTGAGAAGACTGATTTCAGCCCGTACACCAGAGGGTGGACATACTTATTAATGGTATCTGAGATGAACATCTTTCCAAGGCTGGCATTAAAAATGGAAATTCAAGACAGATTTTAAGCGGTATGCCAACTTATATCCAAAGCTTTACAAGTTACTAAAAATGTGAATTGCATAACCAAATACTAAAAAGTTTAGTTGATTTTCAATAGTTTCTGTTCCCTAGCCATTTGAAGACAGTCACTGGAAATAGATGCTGTCTTTCTATATTATCATTATTTAGGTTCCATTGTATCTATCAATGATAAGACAATAGCCAACTAAAAATTATACAGAGACACTATATAGCAGAGAACACTGCCAAAGTCCCAAGGCTTAGAGCTACAGAACAAGTTCATATCTTTCCCTAGTAAGCAAATCCTTCTGAGTGAAGTTCTTATGTCCTTTGTTATTTAGTATTCAATGTTTAAATAATCCTCAATGGTGAGTAAGGTAATACTCTAAGTTCCTCACTGGTATTTGCATTACCAATAGCCATTGTGGAAGTTGTATTTACTAAAATGGGCCATGAATTTGATTTAGCAGTGTCTTCGTGAGCTATGTTTCATTTGTTCATTTACATTTATCAGAAATTTAAAGAAAATATATCTGAAGTGAAATTAAGTAGATTTTTCAGAAAATTATTTTCTTTCTGCATGAAAGTCTTTTGACCTCTTTGGCTCTGAAACTTTTATTCTTTGAGATAGGAAAATGGGCTCCATCTCTCTTCAAGTTCTTCATAAGTACACCTCAATGATATGGAAAACTGTTTTTTAAAAAAGCACCTAAGTGTGCATATATAATCAAATCATTTAAGTACCCACTGATTTTTTATTATTATTAAACTAATCACGAAGTTCTCACATTCTATTTTAATGCTTGGGTTTTTAAATTTCGAGTTCCTTAACTATTCTTAAATAAAATACAAGTTATAAAAGGTTGCTCGATATGCACAATCCAACAGAGGTTTTTCCTCAGCAGATGGCTTATAATGATTTCACAGTTTTGTGGAGTCTGTAAAATTTTAACATGTAGTATTGAAGTCATTCTAGGAATGATGTATCTATTTCTACATTAGGAAACCAGGATGTAGACAGATTTGGTGGCTTGCTGCAGGTCACCTGCCCACATGTGCTACAGTCCTGAGTCTACACAGACAAAATCTGACACACAAACTCATGTGAGCATTAATACCTCTGCTCTTTTAAAGCCTGATACATTTATTCTGTTTTTCACTTTCTTCCCACTCATCGTGTTAGTTGTACAAGTGTCTAGACCCTACTCCTGTTGGCTTTCTCATGCTGAGTCTAAACCCTACTCTAACCAATGGCGTCATTTGCTGTGATGCCCTTATGTACAGTGCTTCTACTCAGAACAGCTCTGATATTATCTTCAGAAAGGTACAAGGTGCTGTGGCATGGGAAACGTGCTGCCTAAGGACATCAGGAACCTAGTGTGTGTGTGTGTGTGTGTGTGTGTGTGTGTGTGTGTGTGTGTGTGTATGTGTGTGTGTATGTGTTTGTGTATACACGTTGATATGTACATATAGAATGGTTGTTTACTTGTATGTATGTGCTTGTGAAGGTTAGAGGACAACTTCTGGCATTGTCCTCTGAAACTTTGTCTATCTCCTTTGATTTAGGTTCTTTCATTGGCCTCAAGTCACCAACTAGACCAGCCCCAATAAGCCCCAGGGATTAACCTGTCTCTTCAGTAATCCAGATGTGATTTGCAAGCATGCACTACCACCATGCTGCAGAATTTTAAATGTGTTCTGGGGACTTAACTCTGGTTCTCATCTTTGTGAGGAAAGCATTTTAGTGACTGAGCTTTCCCCCTATCCTGGAATCTTTTTACATAGAAGATCAAGGAAGGAGCAATCACTGGACAACTGTGCCTCATGCATATGACAGTCGTATAGGACATCACCATGACATAAAGGTGTCACAAGTTTCTCCTTTATATATCCTTTTAAAGAAATATCATCATTTATAGAAATGTATTTGGGATATTTTGGGGTGTCACAAACACATAAAAGGATTTGAGAGAAATTTAAAACTTGCTCAAACTTCTCACTGAATATATATATTGTATTTCATCAGCAACCCAAACAAGCCTTTGTGGGAGCCAAGAAGCTGATACATGTAATTTCCTGTTACATATGTCAGCTATCATAGACTCCTTTTATACCTGTATGTGTGACCTTGTGATTCCAACAGAGGCTAATGACAAAGTGATGCCTTGCAGATTAGGCCCTTTCTGGAAAGAAGCGTCTACAATTCCATGTGGAGTCAACATACTTGCAACAGCACAGAAGCATTCTCCCAGATGTGTGACTGACAGACAGTAGTACGCAACAAAGCAAAGGAAGGGACCTAAGTTCAAATACACTGAAGTCCTCAAGTTCCAGCATTTTCTTGCTCTCTTTTCTGTGACTCTTTGAGTTTCATGACAAATGTCTACTACAACCCCAGACACTATTCTGTCTTCTGTTAGATAAAATTCTCCAATGAAGCTGTGAATGGTGATTCCCACCAGTAAGTAACCCAAGCCCTTAAGAGGCTGAAGCAGGGGGATTGAGTTCAAGGCCAGCTTTGGCTATATTACAAGAATTTGTTCCAGAGTCATCGCAAGCACAGAACATGGTAGGTCAGTTCTCTACAGGGCTCTTTCTGTACAAATAGCAAACAGTTGTCCTGAAGGCTCCACCTCAACCTTTAAACACAATGCATTTGCAAAGACCTCTTTCTCAAGGTTGATATGACCACACTGTCAGAGATTCCTAATAGTCTTTCTGTAACCAAATTTCCCCATATGTGCACAAAAAGACATCAAGACCACTGTCACAGACAAGTAAGTCTGAATGAGGCTCTGCCCAGAAGTTTCTGGAGAATGCCAACCAGGAAGTTGGAGCCCTGACCTGAGTGTGGCAACAGAGTTTACATTTCACATGTATTTAGTTTACTTGTTAGTTGCATAAAATACATTCCATTTGTACACATGTTGAAATTCCGAGTAGAATGACCTACATACATAGCAGAAGTTAAGATACTGTTATAGAGGCTTCGTGTATATAAAGTGAGACTATCCTTCTAAGGACTAGAAATAGATGTGGTAACTTACAATATACTAATCCAAAGAAACTCAATTATGTCAAAATGTTATTAACACAACAACCATGATGGCGAAGAAGAGACGAGTGGCTGGTTAGAGCCGCTAATGACTGCTAAAAGTTTAGTAAACTAATTTTACCCCCAGACAAAAGTTAGCTATGCTTGCTGTTTGTCTTGCCCTTCCACAGAGACCCAATATTAATGATTCATATAAACTACTACTTCAAGAAATGATTTTACTTTAGATAAAATGTTCACCAGCTTTGGCTTGTCCTTTCCCAACAAATATCTCATTTGCATATATCAGCTCCTGCTACTCCTGCACAGCTGTGACTTGGGCAGTAGTTTGAGGGGATGTTAGCAGCACATGACCTAGGAATGGAAATGTCATTGATCCTGCAAAGACAAGAGGATGTTTCCATTTAATAAATGTGCCAGGGCCACTGTCCTACCAGATGAGCTATCTGTGACTACCACCATGCTGAACTGAGTTCCTAGTTATAAAGGTCTGCCTTCTATCTGCATCTTCGATAGACTTTGAAAAAGATCTCCTCTTCCCTCTTGTCCCTCTCCTTTTGTTCTCTCATACTTTCATAGCCTGTTTTCTCACATGAGCATCAGATAATGGATAAAGCATCCTTGCCTGCTTGTTGGCATCCCCTCAGACATGCTAGGAACAGCAGAAGGCATGTATGTTCCCACACTCATTGTCAATGGTGATTTACATTCTAAGCGGCACATTATAAAATACTTTGTAAGCTACTAATAACAATTCAGTAAAGTTGAAATGGTTAACCTGTCCTATACTATGTTGCTAATTACTTTAATCAGAGACCTGAGATAAAAAAGGAAGGAGCATTATGTCAGATGAAAATCATGACTTACTAAAAAATAAACACACGTTTACTCAAATTATTTCAGTGAATACAAGGAATATTGATAATCACACCAGGAAGAGTGTTCTTAAAACTCCACTCCTTCCTTTGCATTTACAAAAGCAGCATTTACCTATTTCAGGAAATCCACAAACTCAAAATCATGTAAACAAAGAAATGAATGTTCACTTTACTGCTCCAAAATTACATTTAAGGACAATTTGTGGCAAAATAAACATTCTGTAACCTATTTTAAATACGTATAGTCTTAAATGTACATGGGTAACTTCAAGTTCTTTGGGATATAATATATTAGAATTTTTTTGATGACTGAGTTTTAGTCTTGGATTTATTTCTGAGCACAATTCTACATGAAATCACTGTATCTAGTATTACCATGATGGGGTTTAACTTACCCCATCATTTTAGTTTGGTATCATATTTGTTGTATAAGCAATAAATAACAAATTTACATGCCACCAAATATGCCAAAATTACACATTATAGAAATAATCACATGTATGGAGAATCAAGTTGTGCTCATAACATTAAATTCTGCATTTCTTTCTCCATCTTTGAATAGCAAAATGCCTATTATATTTTAGAAGATAGACCTGAACTCAACTGCCATCAGTTTCTACAGATATTTTTTACAATAGAAAAATCTTTCTCCTCTGCCCCTTGCACGGGCAGGTCGATTTTCATTGAAAATGGCTTCAAGCTGGTTCTAATATTTACTCACTTATGCAGGTGCGTTCGTCAGCATGGCGTCTGTACCCTGTATCACACTCACAGTGGAAGGTGCCCAGAGTGTTAATACAGCGCTGCTGGCAGCCTCCATTCACCACGGCACATTCATCGATGTCTAGAGGAGGAAGACAGATGGCCAGGATTACAATGTCATTCCAATGTTAACTTCAGAGAAGTGGTACAAATATTTCTTTGATACACAGTATGTGTTATATTGTACAAAAGCACCATCTCTGTTTCCACAAATCCATGCTTGTTTGATCCATTTTGCTCCACCATGTAAACAAGAAAATATAGATGGGAATGTTACTGAGTTGTTTGTTTTTGTTTTTTGTTTTTTTGTTTTTTTGTTTTTTTGTTTTTCTTTTGTTTTTTAGGACAGCAACCATGAGCATTGTGATTGTCTCCCAATTTTCTGTTCCTCATGTACTGACTAATTAGACAGATCTGAGATAAAGATATTTCCTTGGGGAAGGAAAACTGGAGGAGAGAATTACAATGAGCTACTCTCTCTGGAGAAGTGCACACTAGTAGATAAACACCTATTCTTGGTCTGAGAGTGCTGAATAAAGCCAGTAATGGAGTTAAGACCTTGAGTCTCCTTCTCATGTGCTACAGTAGACATCAGAGCAAAGATAGATGACTCAAATGAAACCGTGGCTTAGTGTTCTCAGAAAAACATCAATACATTGGTCCCACTAATTTAGCTTCTTGTTCAAGTGGCTATTTGCTGAAACACCATTTTTGTATAAGAGATCGGCTATTAGCTTTTAGAATAAAATGGAAAATAGTCCAGAAAAATTTATAATTACCTATGCTTTATTATAAGCAATAAATACTACCAGAATACACAAATATAATATTGATTTCTCATTGAAAAATTATTTCATTTCCCAGAACTTACACTTCATTGTGCCTCATGCAATCACTACATAGATATTTAGAATTACAAGAGAACAAATTGTAGACTGTTATGAATTAAAAAAAATAAATTCTAAACTTTCTTATTTGGAGGTTTGTATAAGTGGAAATGAGGGCTGAGGGTGAAGTGCCTGTAATCCCAGATTTTAAAGCAAGAGAAACCTAGATTCCAGGTTAATCTAAGCTGTATAACTGGGAGGGGATAAAGGAGGCAGGGAGAGACAGAGAGAGGGAGGGAGGGAGGAAGGGATGGATGGACAGAGGATGGGTAGGTGGGAGGGAGAGAGGGAGGAAAGAAGGGTGGGCAATATCTTTCTGAAAGTGTCACAGTAACCATCATCTCCTGGCTTGGGGAGTGGATTTCAGGGGCTAATTAGATTCTTACTGCTCATACATGCACACCTTCTGGAAAAGATATTTCGGGTGAACAGTCTTTGTTAAAACATGAGTCACCCACTGGAAAGTTCATTTTTCTACAAGGAACACAGAAAGCCACCATGACAATGACCATCACTGCATATCTCCATGTCAAAATCTCAAGATTCGTAAGAATATTTGACCAAAGGTAGCAAAAGGGTTTTCATTTACCAGGCAAATAAAAGTGACAGTATATTTTCCACAAGTTTGGTATATCTTCTGAAATATAAGATACTCTGGATGAAGTCCTAGTATTTTGAAAGTAAAGTTTATTTCAGAGATAAGAATTACTGATGTGTCAAAATGCAAGAATTTTTTATTACATTCTGAGTCTGTGGTAGCGTGACCTTTAGGTGTTTTTCATATAAAATAATGTTAAACCAGAATTCTCTATCTGTTGCCTATTCTTGGTGCAGGAATTTAATATCTATACAAGTTACATTTTTTCTTTCTGTCTTTGGGGTATTATTCTGCAGAGTTGAGATATAATTCTGAATCTTAACTGTCAACATCTAGATTAGACATCCTTCCCAGGTCTTTCATTTTGTACATATAAACAAAATTCTTAATTCCTAAGTATAATAATATACTTTACATGATAAACGACATTACAACTATCATGAATCATACAGTAACATTTTATATGTGTATATATAAATTGAAAGGGATCTTAAAATATGGGAAAAGATATAAATTATTTCTTCTTAGGGGGGCAGACAGGTGTATTCTGTGACAGTACTGGCCTTCTTCGGATGGGATAGAGTGTTAGACAATTTTTTAAGCTTTATTTTGACTTTACGTGCGTGTGTGTATTGCCTGCATGTGTGTTTATAGGTGATGGTCATGCAGTGCCCACGGAAGAAAGCACCACATCTCCTGGACCTGGAGTTACAGATGAATGTTAGCCTCCATGGGAATGCCAGAACAGAATACCATGCCTTTGCTAGAGCAGTTAATGCTCTTAACTGCTGAGCCATCTCTAGATCCCCTACACAAAAATGTTTAGCCATATCTCTGAGTTTCATATTTGTTAGAAGAGAGAAAGCCACATAGATGCTACTTGTGTATGAAAAATGTAACTTTAAAGTAAAGTTTATTTTGATAACTGCCCCCTTGACTTATTCACAAGATTTTAATATTTTCTCATCAAAGACATAGAGTTCATGAAAAAAATTAAAAATAATCACTGACTATGCTCTCAAGATATAATGGGTATAGACTTGACAATGAGCTTTCTCTACATAAGCTTTGGTATGTTTATATTCTTAGTCGACTTGTAACTATATACTCTGCTGAACACACACACACACACACACACACACACACACACACACACAATCAAATAGACTCTGTTCTTTGAGTGTGATAGTCTTAGGAAAAATAATTCACTTCTAGCACTGATCAGGGAGACATACTTGCTTACTGAAGACTGCTTGCTTATCCATAAACATGGGGTTCATGTTTACCATGCTACAATTTATTTAATCATTTTAGCTTGTTCATACCTGCCATGGCTAATTCTTTACATCATATGTAGATACCAAACAACAGGGTACTTTGTGTCATTAGCTAGTAGAGTTAACAATATAAGATCATGAGGCAAGTCCTTGGGACAGGAGAAGAGAGCAATAGAATTCAGAGGGGGAACTGTTAGGAACTTAATTTGAGAAGCAGGGGAGTGGTTTAAAATGAGAACTGCCTGGAAATGGTAGACATTCAAAGGTGCAGCAAATGCAATGTATACATTTACATCTGTCAGGCTGGACAACATGGTTGGAAAATGAAATAAAGTAGAAAAATGACCCCCCCAAACCTCCTTTCCTTAGTTGGATAGAATGTGTTCCTTGTCCCGATTTACCACGTAGTCTTGAATAGGTAGAAACCTAGCAGCCTGTGTTCACACAGCAGTCAAGCAAACTTATTAAAAGTTAAAAATTCAATCATTTGTTAAGTGGCACCAAACACTAAGTTATTGAGTTGACTTTTTCTTCTGTTATCTTCTTTTATAAGATAGCAACTTCGCTGGTTGTTCTGACATTGTGAAATCAATAGCTCTCAAGCCTGCCTGCACACTAGAACTACTTGGCATGCATTTAAAAATGCCAATGCCAAGGTTCCAACTTTAGTCTGATTTCAATGGTCTCCTTATTAGGTCTGGGAAAGAAAACTGTTAGAAAGCACCCAATGTGGTTCTAATGTGCAGCCTGAGCCAGGAACACCTGGTGTAGTTAAGGCTGTAATTACCCAGAGATGCTGTGAAAGACTGACACTGGTCCTCTGACTATGGGCTTCCAGTTGAGATCCTGCATACACAACTAGCCCCAAGGTGATCTGGATGCAATAGGCATGTGGGTCAGAAGGAGCAAGCACACAGCTAATCCAGTTCATCCATGCATGCTAGAAGGATTGTTGGTTTGGAGGTTTAGCACAGTTGCACAGCAATTTAACCTAGTTGACCAAATCAGTCCACATATTTAAATCAGTACATTGATCAAATAGGCATATGTATATGTATATGTATATATATAGACACATACTACAATAATGGAAATTATCAACATTTTACTACTATGAAACCTATAAAAACTGACTTCTAAAATTGTCCATAATAGTCGCTCTAATAATAATATCAAGAAAATGTCATCATTGTTTCTCATGAAATCCAATCTGCTTCTGTGAAATATGAAGGAAACCTTAGATCTTTTCTACTGGAGTGTGTCTGACTTAGGATGAGTGTGAGCTGAGCTGTCATGATGCCAGGCCCTCATGCTGAGGCCACCACAAGTGAATTTCCTTCCCTCCAGACTCTGCCCAACAGAGTTAAAAACCAGAAATGTCAATATTACATTAAAATGTTATTATCAAGTGTACTTCATGTGAAGAAACAATTTCTCACAAAATTCTCCTTGTTCTATCTTCACATCGGATGCCTACATAAAGCCTTGCCCTTAGAATTGGAACTCCAGGACACTGCTGGGAACAATGATGAAGTCATTAGAAATTTTTTTTTCAGTATTATCACTGTGATATGGACCCTGGATATCATACTGTAAGAGACTGTCAAAAACAATCAACTATGTCTGTTGTTTTTCCTTTTAATATCCTTTCTGATGGATTTACCCTCCAAACTATTTCCCCAGATGGTCACAGAATATAATAGCTTAAAAGAATTCACATTATTATCAAATGTGCTTTGCACAAAAAGCACTCAGAGACAACAATGACACAGTTTTGTTACTGTACAATCAAAATTGTTTGTCTTTTTTTTTTGTTTAGATTTTGTGACCATTTACCTGACAACCAAAGTAAAACAAGTCAGTGTTACATTTGCCCCATAATTTACTATTCTCAGAAACCTGTTGGTTGAAAATAATGCCATTGGTGAGGGAAAGAAGACCTCCTCACTCTACCCCTTGCTACCTCCAGCAGGAGAGAGAGCTGGCCCTGGGGTCACAAGAGTGAGGGAGCTAGCTCTATCCCTCACTAGCTGCAGGACACAGGAGAGATCCCCGAATGGAAAACACACAGAGCCAGAACTGAGGGCATGAGGGTAGGAGAGCTG